ATTTCCCATGTCTCAAGGTTTGCAGTTGTAACTTTTAGTTATTTTCCTGAACTAATTTGTGAAGTCTGTATTCTTTGTCATGTGTGACCACTGAAGTCTCTGCTCAGTTAGTTTAATGATCAGCTAATGTTTGAACAGAGATTTCCTTAAACTCTTGAAACTAATAAATCTCTCAGCCATATTTACTGGGTATTTACTGAGGGCTCCTTCTCTCTCTGTGTTGGGGCATATCTTCAGTGATTAGGCAGAGAGTTTACAACTTAGCCCTTCTTGCTTGTGTAGAACCTAAGTTCCACCAGACTTGAGAGCTTAGGGACAATCGCCGGTCTTTTCTAGTGTGTGCACAGCTGGGCATGTACCCTTCATGTTGGAACTTTCCAAATCCTTTATGGACATCTCACTCCCAGCCTCTCTTTTTAATTAAGTATTTTGGTCAGCTTGTTGTTTGTCCTGTTATAGCTCCCTCAGGTGGCTATAATGTTATTTAGTAGCTGCTAATTGTCTCTGACAAAGGCCATTTGCCCCCGGCAAGCTCTGAGTTAGGTCAGTGAAGACAAGACTTCTAGTGGATCATATGGCAGTTCTATTTCCAGCTTTTTAAGAAATCTCCACACTGTTTTCCATAGTGGCTGTACTAATTTGCATTCCCACCAACAGTGTAAGAGGGTTCCCTTTTCTCCACACCCTCTCCAGCATTTATTGCTTGTATCCTTTGACCCAGCAATCCCACTTCTGGGCATACACACCGAGGAAACCAGATCTGAAAGAGACACGTGTACCCCAATGTTCATCTCAGCACTGTTTATAATAGCCAGGACATGGAAGCAACCTAGATGCCCATCAGCAGACGAATGGATGAGGAAGCTGTGGTACATATACACCATGGAATATTACTCAGCCATTAAAAAGAATTCATTTGAATCAGTTCTAATGAGATGGATGAAACTGGAGCCCATTATACAGAGTGAAGTAAGCCAGAAAGATGAAGACCATTACAGTATACTAACACATATATATGGAATTTAGAAAGATGGCAACGATAACCCTATGTGCAAAACAGAAAAAGAGACTCCTATGTATAGAACAGACTTGTGGACTCTGGGAGAAGGCGAGGGTGGGATGTTTCAAGAGAACAGCATTGAAACACGTATATTATCTAGGGTGAAACAGTTCACCAGCCCAGGTTGGGTGCATGAGACAAGTGCTCGGGCCTGGTGCACTGGGAAGACCCAGAGGGATTGGGTGGAGAGGGAGGTGGGAGGGGGGACCGGGATGGGGAATACATGTTTAAAAAAAAAAAAAAAGATACACTATGGTTGTGATAAAAAATAAATAAATAAATAAATAAAAATAAAAATAAAAAACTAAAAAAAAAAAAAAGACTTCTAGTGGAATTTTCCAGTAATCTGACAGACGTGTTAGATAATGACTGTTACCTGAGAATGGGGCTTTGGAGGAGATCCAACCCTATAGCTAGGAGATACAGCTTCCTCTGGTGGCTACTAGGCTGCTAGTTTTCACCATGATTTGGGAGCTGTTGGTCTACAAAGCTACCAGGAACTGGGGAGTGGGGAATAGAAATAGGATAACTTAAGAATACCAGTGGATCATATGGTGAGGTTATGTTTTAACTTTTTGAAGAAACTGCCAAGCTGTTTTTTTCCAAAGTGGCTATACCATTTTATATACCCACCAACACTGTATCAGTTTTTCTGTATCCTCCCAATATTGTTATTATCTTTTGATTATCACTATTCCAGTGGATGTGAAGTGGTATCTTTTTTTTCTTTTGAGCAATAAAACTCTTTATTCACAAATGACATGACCATTTCTGTAGAAAATTTTATGGAATCTACAGTAAAGTTAAAAGAACTAAGCTGTAAGTTTATTAAGATTGTAGGATAGAAGATCAATATACCAAAATTGTTTGTATTTCTGTGTATTAGCAACAATGAGAAACTGAATTTAAAATACCATTGTAATAGCATCAAAAATATAAAATACTTAGAGAAAATCAGACCTATACACTGAAAACTATTAAACATTGATGAGAAAAATTAAAGAAAATCTAAACACATAGAAATACTATGTTTATAGAGGTCTCAGTGTGATTGTGGAAGACCAAAGAGGATGTTGTTAAAACAGAATTTTAAAATTGGAATTCAGAGAGTGCTTGATTCTCAAAGATAACAAAATTCTGCATGTAGTCAGGGTGTTAACTGTTAAAAAGAGGGAACATATTAGGGTGTCAACTGAGTGCATCTTTATGCATGTTTAAAGCACTGAGGAGGAGGGTCATGGCTGTGTGTAGTAGGCAGAATATGTAAAGTGATATTTTAAAGTGCTTTTCCATGTCTATTTTTGCTCATGTTATATTCTCAGATCTTGGTATAGTACCCGGCATGTAGTAGTCACTCAGTAAAAGTTGTGAAAGTAAAAAGGGACTAACAAAGTTTTACAGATGGTGCCTTTAAGGTGATTCATTCCTCTAAGATAATTATTTGGCCAGTTAGGAGGAAGACTTGAGGCAGAACAAAAGCTAATCCCCAAAGCTTATAGCAATAAGTTATATACAAAAGGAAAGATCCCAGAATTCTGTCACCAAGATGTTTTCACTTGTGCTGTGATACTTTGCTGGTGATGAGAATATGCTTAATACATTTGATAAAGTTTTTAAATGCCTTCTTTGTTTCAGGCACTGTACTGGGCATGGGGGATGTAGCCTGAACAAAACAGATACACATTTTGCCCTCATGGAACTTACCATCTCATGGGAATGAGAAGTAAATAGGCAAATAATAAAGCATGGCAAATAACTGTGAAGGAGGAAGTGTAGAATTATATATAAAAGGTACCTCTATTGCAGACATCTCAGCTGAGACATGAGGAAATAGTTGGTGAGGCAGTGTTCTAGGCAGTTGGAACAGCATTAGCAAATGTAAACAATCATGACACAAACCTGGCAAATTTGGAAACTAATATTCTATAGGCTAGGGAAGAGTGGCTGAGAATGTGAGCAGAGGCCAAATCCTGTACGTCCTTACCAGTCATTTTATGTAGCTTCAAATTTGTCCTATGGCATGGGGAATCCTTGAAGGAGTGACACAATCATACACATGATTTTAAAATAATAGTCAGATTTCATTGTGGGCAGTGAATGGGAGGGGATCAGAGGGAATTCAGGGAAACCATTTAGTAAGGTAATAATTTTGATGAGAGAGCTTAGGGAACTTGAACTAGGGAGAGAAGTGGATGGAGAGAATATGGGACCTGAGGCAGAAATGTGCCTTGATTTCTGGCTGGAGCCATGAGGTCAATGTTGGTTCCATTCACTGAGCTGAAGGACTCTTAACAAATGGGTTTGGGGGAGAAGATAATCCATTTAGTTTTTAATTATCTGAGTTTGTGGGAGTGTGTAGGTCAGCCTTCTTGCAGGCTTCCACTTCTTGTGGAAACCAAGAGAAATATCTTGGTTAGAGATGGAAATATGGAAATCATTAGTAAATAGATAGTTACTAAGGCCTGTAAGAGTAGATGAGATTGAGATAAAACAGCCAGTAGGTGGGAAGAAGCCCAAAAGAATATGGTATTCCCATAACGAAGTAAAGAAAGTACTAAAAAAAAAAAAGTAGATGAGATTGTGCAAGAAACAAGAGGCACGAGAAGAGAAGCCTAAGACCAGAAGCCTACAATTACAGACAGAGGAAAGGAGGAAACTGGTTCCAGGAGTCAGGAATGAAGGAGTGGTTGCCTGTATTTGTACACTAAGATATCTAGTGAGGGCTTCCCTGGTGCCTCAGCTGGTAAAGAATCCGCCTGCAATGCAGGAGACCTGGGCTCGATCCCTTGGTTGTGAAGATCCCCTGGAGAAGGGAACAGCGGCTACCGACTCCAGTATTCTGGCCTAGAGAATTCCGTGGACTATATATACTCCGTGAGGGTCACAAAGAGTAGGACACGACTGAGCAAATTTCACTTCACATCTGGCAAGATATGTATTGAGGGGTGTCTGTTGGATGTTAACAACAATGAAGTTGTTGATGACTTTGGCCCGGACACTTTTTAAAATTAATTTTTCTTGGAATATAGTTGTTTTGCGAGCTTCCCAGGTGGCACAGTTGGTAAAGAATCTGCCTGCCAGTGCAGGAGATGTAAGAGATGCAGGTTTGATCCCTGGGTCAGAAAGATCCCCTGGAGTAAAAAATGGCTCCCCACTCCCATATTCTTGCCTGGAAAGTTCCCTGAACAGAGGAGCCGGTGTGCTACAGTCCATGGGGTCACAGAGAATTGGACACAACTAAGGGACTAAGCAAATAGTTGTTTTAAATTGTTGTGTTAGTTTCGGCTGCACAGCAAAGTGAATCATATATATATATTCCCACATTTTAAAATTTCCTTCCCATTTAGTTCTCCGCAGAGCATTGAATAGAGTTGCTAGGGCAGTTTGAATGGGGGAGCAGAAGACAGACTGCTCACCTTCCACTTGAGCAGTGAATGAGTGATCAGAAAGTGAATAAGTAAAAATAATGTTTTTAAGAAGTTTAGCTATGAAGGAAATGAGGCAAAGGACAGTACCTGGAGTGTGACATGGGGTTAATGGAAAGTTAAACTTTTTCCATTAAGTTCTTTTTGATTACTTTTTCTTTTAGGAATGTGATTTATCTTTCCAGTATTACCTTCATTATTATCTTTTCAAGGGGTTGGGAAGATCCCCTGGAGTAGAAAATGGCAACCCACTCCAGTATTCTTGCCTGGAAAATACTGTTCATAGAGGAGCTTAGTGGACGACAGTCAGTCAGGTACAAAGAGTCAGACACAACTGAGTACACACACACAACTATTTATACTTACATCTTTTTGCACTGTGTAGTTAATTCGTTGCATGTGGTAAGAAAATAACTTCACTGTCTTAATTCGCTAGATTTTCTCTTAATTGTTGAAAAATTTTCTAGATAATGAAACCTCATTTTAATGTATTACATATTCTGTTTGTTTTTTAGATCATTCATCGAGATATAAAACCTGAGAATATTTTAGTATCCCAATCAGGAATTACTAAACTCTGTGATTTTGGTTTTGCACGAACACTAGCAGCTCCTGGAGATGTTTATACGGACTATGTGGCCACACGCTGGTATAGAGCTCCAGAATTAGTATTAAAAGATACCTCTTATGGAAAGTATGTATAGTTGGGGATCCTGCCTGGCCTTTCCTAGCCATCTCTTTTTTCCCTTGGTGTATCTGTCACCAGAACTACTGACAAATTCTGCCTTCTGCATCTGGGCTTGGGATAGAAAAGGGACACCCCAAAATAGAGCAGAGAGACCCTAGACATCTACCCTGCTGCTGTTGATGTTACCACACTTGCCCCCTGGAGCTGAGTGGCCCCAGCCCCAGGAAACTTATGCAGAAACCTCTCAGACTGCCATCCATGCTTGCCTTAAGCTGTGCCCCACCGTTTACAGAGTGGCCTCCTTGCTTCTCTGTAGACTCTAGATTCTGCAGCGATTTAAAAATCTACTCTGCCAGTGTTACCACAAGTTTCCTAGTTCCTGAGTATGGCACAGTCTTTGCAAAGACTGACAAATAATAATCTTTAAATTGTACTAGATATTTCAGAAAGTAAAAATGCCTCAGTCTATTGTGAATCAGTAAAAATAGTATAGGAAACAACAATCTAATAAACAAATAATGAAGCTTGAAGAATGTAAAGACACCATCAAGAGTGAGGGTTACACATTCCTCCATATCCTCACCAGCACTTGTTATTATCTGACTTTTGGATTCTAGTTATCCTTATGGGTGTGAAGTGATATCTCCTTATGAGTTTGATTTCCATTTCCTTGATAACTAATGATTTTTTTACTTCATTGTTGATCTTTTTATGTGCTTATTGATCATTTATATATCTTCTTTGGAGATCCTTAGCCCTTTTTTAAATTGGACTGGCTTTTTATTATTAAATTCTAAGAATTCTTTGTACATCTAGATATAAATTCCTTATCAGATACTTATTTGCATATATTTTCTCTTATTTAGTTGTCTCTTGATTTTCTTGATGGTGTGTGTCATTTAAGAAACAGAATTTTTAATTTTGATAAAGTTCATTCTGTCTGTTTTTATTATTTGTTGCTTATGCTTTTGGTGTCATACTTAAGAATCTTTTGCCAAATCCAAGACTGTGAGACTCTTCTGTTTTAAGAGGTTTCTAGTTCTAGTTCTAATCTTCCATCCATTTTGAGTTAATTTTTATAAGTGGTGTAAGATAAGGACATTGACATAGGTTCAATCACTGGTTGGGTAACTAAGATCCTGCAAGTTGCACAGCATGGCCAAAAAAAAAGTGTTTTTTAGAAAAGATGTTTTATATATTTCTCCATGAAAGAGTGATTTATTCTTGTTTGTTTCAGACCTGTGGATATCTGGGCTTTGGGCTGTATGATCATTGAGATGGCCACTGGAAGTCCCTATCTTCCTAGCAGCTCTGATTTGGATTTACTTCATAAAATTGTTTTAAAAGTAGGTAGGTATTACTGAAATGTACTGTTAAATGCCTAAATAAGTGTTTTCAGATAAATTCTGCTTGATTTTCAAATTTAGTATATCTTTATAAGAATAAAGAAGCATATTGTTTTGGTAGATGAAAGTAGATAGATGCTTTGGGCTGATAAAAAAAAAAGTAGAAAAATTCTCTCTGTTTTTGAAAATAACATTTTTTTTCTGCCTGGATGCAAATAGCAGTACCATGTTGATGGTTGATACTAAGAAAAGTAGTAAAATAGGAACCTACTTCAGTTTGTCTGAAAGTTGTTATAAAATTTTGGCTTCTACAAATATTTGCTTCTTTCAAAGAGGACTTTCAAGTAATAAAATTGATTTTTATTTTGATGCTCTTTTAAAGTGCTTGGAAATAGAAAACCAGTTGTTTACTAAGAAAACTTTTATTAACCACAGTAGATAAGCAGATAGCTAAATATCTTATTCAAAAATATTTTTGATGATAGCTGAATTATTTGATTATCTGCTTTGACTACCCAAACATTTTCATGGTTAGTGTTGCTCATGGAGTTTCAAAGACTTTCTATATATATTTTTGATTGAGGAGCTTGAGCAACCTATTTTGTGATGAGAAAGCTATACATAAACATATAAGTACAGGATCATGAGGAAAGTACTTTGAACAACTCTAAAAACTGTGAATCTGGATAAATATTGGTTAAAGATACAGTTTACAGCCTTAAAGCATCATACTTTTTTCTGTCATATTTAAAATTCTGGTTATGAGATTGATGAGAGTAGAGATGATGGGATCAGTTTTGTCATTTTACAAATGAGGAAACCAAGATACAGAAAAGGAAGATTTGCCCAAGGTCACAGAACTAGTTAAGAGCAAAACTAGTGGTAGAACTTAGCTGTTTCCACTCCTATTTAATGGTTCTGTACATTCTGCTACTAATCTATAACCTTGTTTTTTCCTTGCAATATTTCTATTTCTAAATAATTTTAGTATTTTAGCTGTTTTGAATAAGACTTTGCTGATGAACACTTGCCAGATAAACCATTTTGATACCCTTATGGAAATACATAAAAGTTTGAATGTGCCTTTTCTAATAGCATTATATATTATGTCTTGTATTTTGAAAAAAGAAAATGCACCTGTGGTTTTTTATTCTCTGCTGCCTATGTGCTATCAACAGATTACTGGGGAACTCACTTTTTTATGCTATATTCAGAAGATAGTTCCTTATGCTATATTCAGAAGATAGTTTCTTGTTCAATTTTAAAAAATTAAGAGAACTTAATTGTTATTCTTTCTTTTAGTAATTTGATGCAGACCACATAACAATTTGATTATTTTGATTATAGAATGATATCCCTGTTTTCTTATGTATATGTTTTTTTCTCTTTTCAGGCAATTTGACACCTCACTTGCAGCATATCTTTTCTAAGAGTCCCATTTTTGCTGGGGTGGTCCTTCCTCAAGTTCAACATCCCAAAAGTGCAAGAAAAAAATACCCAAAGCTAAATGGATTGTTGGCTGACATAGTTCATGTATGTTAAGAGATTAAGGACTTATTTCTTGGAAATTTGCATAAATTATAATACAGTTTTAAGATATGACTTTAATGAAATTACAAAAGGATTCATGAAGTAATGTTAACTGTTCAAAGTTACTATATTCTTCTGTGTTTATGTCTTTAGTTCAGAGAAGTTAAAAGTCACAGACTGTTAGAATTGAAAGGCCCCTGGGATAATCTGGTCTGTTCTTTTTTGTTAATTCCAATTTTATTGATAAACTGAAAAATTTTAAGGATAAACTGGAAAATGTTAAGGACTTACCATGTTGATCAACACCTCTTAACAGCCAGTCTTCCCAGCAGTCTACCCAAGAGATTTCTTCCTTGTACAGTAGTATTCTAAGGTATGTCAAGACTTTGGCAGCTATAGTTGTAATGTTGTTTGAGGATACACCAGTGCCAAAATTCAGGTTGATCTGGAGAAAACAAAAACATTATATAGCACTTTTAAATTAGTTTAAAATTTAAATTTTATTTTGAACTGCATAATAAATGTACCGGCATACTTAGAATAGAGTTCAAGAAGTGAGAGAGCTACTTGCTTCTGTTTATTTTCTCTTCCCAGCCAGTTTTCTTTCCCAGGGTCAATTAACATGTCTTATTTCTAATGTACAGCCCTTAAAAAAAAGTGGTAATCTAATTTCAAAGCCAGTATAGCATGGTGTTTATGAGAGGGGGCTCTGAATTCACATGAACTTTCTTTAAAACCCAGCTCTGTTACTAATTAGCTCTGTAAATTTGAGCAAGTCAATCTCCATGCCTCAGTTTACTGAGTTATAAAACAACATTAACAATGTTTTCTGGAGCTGGAGGATAAAATGAGTTAATGGTAGAAATGTTCTTAGCACAGAGCCTTGAATAAGCTGTCAACAAATGTTGTTAATGTTAACTGTTGTTGCTGTCTTTTAGATAAAACTAAACATGACATGTAACATCTAAAGACTTATCAAAGGAAGAAAGTTATTTCTTTGGTAGCTGTAAAGAACTAGAGTTTATTAAAGGATCAGTTTTTTTGCTACATTTTCCACTTTAATTTCTTTTTTTTTTCATGTCATAGTTTTGATTTTACAAAGAATACATAATGATCATAAAAAAATAGAATACTTGATAGAGAAGTTAACATTTTCCCAACCTCCACAATCCAGGAAAAATTACTATTGATGTTTTGGTTTATATACTTTTCCCAACCAAATACATGCATAACAGTTTATGCTTTTTAAAAGGTGTTATACTTTATTGTTGTTTAGTCACTAAGTCATGTTTGACTCTTTTTTTTTAACATACAAATAAAAGAGAGGATTTATTTTCATTCTGAGTTTATTTAACATTTCATCCAGTTGAAATGAAATAATACATGGGCTCCAACACTGACCAGACACTTGCTAATACTGAAATAAAAGCTGCCAGTCAGTTCATACTTATAATCATAATTCATTATGTTACCCAAAATATTAATAACTATTTACCTTTATAAGCTTATTGCACTTCATGTGAACTTTTCTCCAGAAAAGGTATTCCTAAGAGATCAGCAAACTGCCAATCTTGGTTCATTTTGTTCCTTTTGATAAACCATGATTCAACTCTACAGTTCATATTTCTCTATAAAGCATCAAAAATCAGAAGCTTCAACAGATAATGTTTAAAAAGACACATCTTGAGGCTCATTATCCCTTTTGTCATGAGGCTCTGGTCATCTCATTCTGGTATGCATTAAACTTCTGGTTAGTCAATCTTCCAACCAGTCACTCATTTTTCAACGAAAGTTAAGACTAACATGGAGCTGCCAATTATCCAGGGCTAAGAATTCTGAGGTTAGCTGGGGGCGGGAGGCTGAGGTGCGGGGGAGGGTTCAAGGTCTTGAAAGTGAAAGTGAAGTCGCTCAGTCGTGTCTGTCTCTTTGCGACCCCATGCACTGTAGCCTGCCAGGCTCCTCCATCCATGGGATTTCCCAGGCAAGAATACAGGCATGAATTGCCATTTCCTTCTTGAGGGGATCTTCCCCACTCAGGGATTGAACCTGCATCTTCTGCATTGGCAGGTGGTTTCTTTACCACTGAGACACCTGGGAAGCTCTGTCTTACTTTACACACTGCTATGTAACCTGTTTATTTTCACTTAGCATTATAGTTTAAGCATACTGCCATGTCAGTAAATATGGAGCTGTGTCATAATTTTAGTGCTTGCATAGTGTTTCATTGTATGTCTATACTATAGTTTATCTTGCAATTTTGGACATTAGGTTTCAGGTTTTTTCCTTATTGGTAAAGATGCTACAGTAAACATCTTTTATATGTCTGCATGAACTTGTAGTATTATTTGCTTAGGATAAATTCCTAGAAGTGTGACTGGTAGACCAAAGAGTTTATACTTGTTAGGACTTTTGGTATATCTTGCTATTTTTTTCCTCCAGAAAGATTTCATAGATTTATACTCAAGTAGCATTGGGTATAAATCTCCATTCTCAATCTAACATTGAATATTACAATATTAAAAATATTTACAACTTAATAAACTAGAAATAAAGTATATTTTTAAAAATTGCGCTTCTTTCATTACAGGGAAGTTGGACATGTTACTGACATTAATTGGTCATTTGTAGTTATTATTTTAAGAATCCTTAAACTATTTGTGATTTAAAGTATATTTTTACATTGATTTGCCAAATAATCAAATTAGTGTCCTGTTGTATGTGTTCTAAATACTTTTTTCAAGTTGAATAATCCAGTGATTTGGAATGCCACATTTATCATAGAAAGATTGCTTGTACATGCTGAGGTATATTTGTATTTCATTGATTTCTCTCCTTATTCTATTACAAGTACAATTTTGATTATTATAACTTTCAAATAGATCTTTCTTTTGGTCACACCATGCAGCTTGGGGGAATCTTCGTTCCCCAACCAGTGACTGAACCTGGGCCCTGGCAGTGAAAGCGCTGAGTCCTAACCACTGGACCACCAAAGAATTTTCTAAAATACATCTTAATACCTGGTGTAGAGCATGTATTTTTTCCCCTAGATTTAAAATTTTTTAATAACATTATAATGGTATAATTTCAACACAGTAAACTACATGATTTCAGATGTACAATTTGATGAGTTTTGGTAGATGTATACATACCTGTGAAACCACCACTACAATCAACATACCTAAGATTTCCATCACTTCCCAAAATGTCCTTGCATCCTTTTGCAATCCATCTTTCCCTTCATTCCTGTCCCTAAATAATCACTGATTTATTTTCCACTATAGTTTATATTTTCTAGAATAGTCTGTAAATGGAATCAAACAGTGTATATTCTCTTTTATGTCAGTCTTCTTTAACTCAGCATTATAGTCTAGAGATTCAATTCATGTTTTTGTGTGTATCGGTAGTTTATTCCTTTTTATTGCTGAGTAACATTCCAGGTATGACTATATCACAATTTTTTTAAAAATCTATTTCCCTCTTTTGGGTTGTTTCCTCTTTTTGGCTACTACAAGTAAATTGCTGTTAACATTCACTTAGAAGTCTTTGTGTAGATGTGCATTTTTATTTTGGGAGAGAGAACTGCCAGTCTTTCTCAAAGTGTAATATTTTACATTTTCCAAACTAGGGCAGACATTTAAATTCTGTAAATTATACTATTTACAGAAGGAATATTTATCTGCTTCCAATTGGCTGTGACCTTTTAGCATTTTTGTTCCTAAGTTTTATTGATGGATAACTATTAACGTTCTAAAATAAGCACATACTTTTAGCTAGTTCCAGTCTTAAGGATATGACTATTCTCACCTAAAGAAGATGATAATAGACTTTATGAGTCAATTTTTAAAAATTGTGGTTAAAGAAAAAACCACATAACATAAAATCTATCCTCTTAACCAAATTTTAAAATGTACAGTATGATATTGTTAACTATATGCAAATTGTTGTATAGCAGGTTTCTATAACTTTTTCTGTGAATCAATTTAAACTTTGTGAAATAATCAGAAGTGTAATATTATATGCAATTACTTTGTACATTCTGGATTTTAACTGTTGTTTCCATTTATGAGATCTTAGACCAATTACTTGTCTTCTTTGGGCCTTAGTCTACTCATCTGTACAATGAGGATAGTAGTACTACCTACCTTGTAGGGTTGTTGTTGGGATCAGGTAATAGGAAAAGACTAGATAGAGTGTTGTATGACAAACACATAATAAGCATAAATAAAAGTTACCCCCCCAAAAAAAACCCAAAAAAGAAACAAAAGAATAAAAGTTACCTATTATTAGTATGTTTTGCATTCTTTTGGAGGAAGAATGAAAATTATCAGGCAAATAGATTTTATTCAAATTATGTCTTTAATATTTGCATTAATATATTCTAATTATGATTATTTAATTATATGTAGATTCATTATGTACAACTTCTTTTCTGATACTCTTACTTCACTGTCTCTTTGTTTTGTGGGGTTTTTTTTAGTTCTCAGTTGAAGTAATCCCAAGTGAAGGGAAGCAGAAAATAGCTGTTCTGATAATGGGTTATTGAAGGATTTGGGGGCTTGGATATTTTTGAAATTGTTTTATGCCACATAAAAAGCATTGAATTAGGAATCAGACAATATCAGTTAAAATTCTAGTTTGGCAAATTACTAAACATGCTTCTAGCTCTATAAAATGGAAATGATAATTCATGAACTTTCTTCCTTACAGGGCTGGATAAGAGGACCCAAATGAGCTAATTAATTCCTACTAATTCCAGCAGAAATAGACTGACTTCTGTTTTGGCTATAAATAGGACATTTAACCTGTAGTATTATTTTACAAGTACAAATTTCTTAGGGAAACAAGTGGTCAGAACTCACTGTCAGATATTCCTGAGGTCTAATTCTATCTTTTCAAGAACTCTTTTAGCTCTGGGTAATTAATTATACCTGTATTTGTGAAGTTTAACATTTACCTTAAGGAGACATGTTAAGAGCTTGTTTAACATGGAATCTTTTTTTATTTTCTAGGCTTGTTTACAAATTGATCCTGCTGAGAGGATGTCATCTACGGATCTTTTGCATCATGAGTATTTTACTAGAGATGGATTTATTGAAAAGTAAGCATTTTGAGTGAGTGTGGACTTTTTTGTTTTTTTTTATTAGGAAATTTTACTAGCATGAAAATTGCTACATAGGTTAATGTTACACAGAAGAATTCAGTTTATCAAAAACTTACTGAGTTTTTGTATTGATATGTGGTAGATTTACAGGTGTCATGGTGAAAATTCTAATAATAAAAATAGTGCAGTTAACATTTATTACACAGTTAATATGTCCTAGACAGCGAGCTAAGCTCTTCACATGCATTTTTCAATTCTTACTATAGGGCAGAGATAACATTAAATAAACCATCAATACTTTTTAACCTTGTTTCCACTTAGACCCCTGACTCAGAATAGTCCAGTTTTTCCTCTTGATAGCATCTCTGATCTATATATTATAATTAGCATTCATTTCCCAGATGATTTTTTTCCTCTGCTTTGCTCATTATCTGTTGCAGTCCCTGTTGTTTTATTCTCCCCACCAAACTGGAAGTTCTCTGAAGACAGGGACCATGGTTCTTAAAGCCTTTCTCTGTCCCACATTGTATCTAAATATATGTTAGCAATGTGGATTCATAAATCAGCCATGCTTCTTTAAAAAAAAAAACCACCATTTTCTATTTGGGCTTTGAAAGAAACAGGAAAAGTTTATTAATTGCAAAATTATTCAGTTTGCCTTGGAGTATGAGGCAGAAACATAAATATCAATTTTAAATGTGTTGGAGTTAAGATCAGGCATAGGAAAGTCCAGGACCTCCATTGAAAATAGACTGAAGTAGAAAAAGCCAAAGAAAAGGGAATTGCTGAGAGTAAGGAGAACTTGAAGCATTTCAAGAATTTTATTCTAAGACAGAAAATGAGAAGATATATTAAAAGTGCCAAAAATAAAAACTAAAAAATAAATAAAAGTGCCATTGATGAGAAGTATCAGTTATTGAATAAAAGAGTTGCTTCCTGTCAATTCTATATAGACTCATTTGATTTCTCTTGGGTATTTAGCTATTAGGATTTTACTATCACAGGGTGAAAGTTCTTGAGTTCCACAAGGCAAGGAAATTTTAATAGAAATGTGCCATTTCCTTATTCAGTCAAACTAATCACACTGTTTCTTTTCCCTTCATCTCACACTTACCCTTTTACTATAATTCTAGGGAAGAATTCATTCATGGTAGAACTTAGTCTCAAACTGGTAGCTGCTTCAAGAAGGGAAACTGTGTAGCTTGAGGAGAGGGTGGAAAGGAGACTTTTCAGTATAACCTTTTGAGTTCTGAGCCATACAGTTTAAAAATCCAAACTAGGACTTCCCTAGTGATCCAGTGGCTAAGAATCTGCCTGCCAGTGCAGGGGACATGGGTCTGACCCCTGATGCAGGAAGATTCCACATGCCGCAGGGCAACTGAGCCCATGTTCCATGCCACAACAGCTGAAGCCTGTGTGCCCAAGAGGCCATGCTCCACAACAAGAGAAGCAACTACAATGAGAGAAGCCCATACACCACAACTAGAGAGTAGCCCTCTCTACTAGAAGGGCAACTAGAGAAAGCCCTGCAGCAATGAAGACCCAGCACAGCCAAAAATAAATAAATAAATACATATTTATTTTTAAGCCAACCTAAAGCCAAAACAATCTTGCTTCAATATTGATGTATTCTATTATACTTCAAAAATATTTCTCTAGAGTAAGATTTTAGAAACTAGTTCATCTTTTAAGTCCTGTTAAAAGAACAGGACTTAAAAGGGACAAAGTGGCCTGAGTCTTCTTTGAAGTGAAAAGTACATTTGCCAGAATTGAAAGCAATGCTTTTATTAAGTAAGCTTTACATCACAAAAGAAATCTAATTCATATGTCTATCTTGTGAAAGTTTTATTAATAGTAAATTACCATGGAGAAATTGTTGAAAGATGTATCTTTACCAGGAAACAACCTGTATTAGGTAAATATTGTGCCATCTCTTGGCATGCATTACTGATAACTTATTTATGCTGTAGCTCAAATGTAAAATTAAAAGGTCTTTTACAGATAAAATGCTATCTACATAAATAAAATTATTTGATATTGCTTGTTTTATCAGATTCATACCAGAACTGAAAGCTAAATTGCTACAAGAAGCAAAAGTCAATTCATTCATAAAACCAAAAGAGAATTCTAAAGAAAATGACTTTATGAAAGATGAAAGAAAAACAGTTTATACCAATACACTGCAAAGCACTTCAGTTTGGGGAAAGGTAAAAACTGGTCTTATTTTTAGCCAATATAGCTGTATTATAGTTAGTACTCTAGTGATAAAAATAACTGTTCTCCTGACTCAGATTTTGGATGTATCTGTTCTAGGAATTGGAAAAAGAGAAAAAGCCCAAGGAGATCAAAGTCAGAGTTACTAAAGTTAAAGGAGGGAAAGGAGATATCTTAGAACCAAAAAAGATAGTGTGTGAAGGTGGACATTGTCAACAGGTTGCAGCTGAAATTGTTTATACTATGTCTCAAGATACAAAACCTGTAATCAGTGAGCCACCAAACCCTGTCAGTCCCAGCCCTAACTCTATAGGCATGAAAGATGATCCATGTGCTGGAGGTAGTATGGTGATGCCACCGATCAATCTAACTAGCAGTAACTTGATGGCTTCAAATCCCAATTCAAATCTCTCCCACTCCAATTCAAGGTGAGTTTTAACAGAAAATAAACAGAAGGAAATGGACGTAAGTTTTATAATGTTTTTATATAATGATATTTCAAAGAAGCAAGTTTGTAATGTCTGTATATAAACTGAATTGGAAGATGTATTGAAATTATAATCACATAATGGGCCATTACTAAATTCTTCTTATAAATGCTATAGAAGAAATTAACTTTTCTTGGCTATGCTCTAGGTGTGTGGTTTTTCACTAATGCAGTTTGCAAAAACCTCATTTTGAAAAAAAGGCCCTCAGAAAAATTACTTCCCATTTGAAGAGAAAAATGTAATGTGACCTCACTTTTGGTATTGATGTGCCTTCATATAGCAAAGTAAGCTTTATTTTCCTATTGTAACAAATTATCTAAATGGAAAAAAGATAGTTGAAAATAATCTTATGTAGTCAGATAGCTTTTCAAGGTTAAATATTTTGGGAGAAAAACAACATACTGGATCAATTTTAGATTCACCTACTATTACAGAGTTGAGACACTGGTACCATGAACCTGATTAATCAAGGGCAGTGTGATGGATGGATGGCAAGAGTCTGTCTAGCAAGGCATCAGGGCAAGTTCTAAATTTAGGGAACTGCTATGGCTCTAGATGAAGAAGGAGGCTTGGTTCAGTGTCCTAGAAGATTAGTTCAATCCTAGCAGGCTGGTTTGGGCTGTAAGTTGTGAAGCTTAGTGGTCTGCAGAGGTGGCAAGTGAACATGTCTATACAGCAGACTACAGACAGCAAGTGTCAGTCGTTCTTGAGGTAACTCCCAAACCGTGGTTGTAATAACCATAATTATAAACTAGCCTTGATCAAAAGCTCAGAAACTCATGAACCCAGTAGTTAAGAGATCCAGGTTCAGAACAGATAGAAAGGACCAAATAGGCCAGCTCGAGTAACCCCACCCACAACATGGTGCCCCCACTGATGTTAGTCATGAGTGAGTTGTTCTCTGCCCTGTTTTTACCTCTTAGAGCAGTTGGTACTTCAGTCAGTTCAGTTCAGTTCAGTCGCTCAGTCGTGTCCAATTCTTTGCGACCCCATGAATCGCAGCATGCCAGGCCTCCCTGTCCATCACCAACTCCCGGAGTTTACTCAAACTCATGCCCATCGAGTCCGTGATGCCATCCAGCCATCTCATCCTCTGTCGTCCCTTTCTCCTCCTGCCCCCAATCCCTCCCAGCATCAGGGTCTTTTCCAACAAGTCAACTCTTCGCATGAGGTGGTCAAAGTATTCAAGGACTAACAATTGAATTTTGACACATGTTCAAGCAGTAGACTACCATGGTATAACTTATCATTATTGAAGCTAAAACAAGTATTTCTGAGGAGTTCTAATAACTTCTCATTTGTTTTTAAATAATAGGTTAACTGAAAGAGCCAAAAAGAGACGTACGTCTTCACAATCTATTGGACAAGTTATATGTAACAGGCATGAGGATACAGGTTCCACTCAAGTAAGGCAAGACCCTCATCATTAAATTACATCCTCTTTCAGCATTAGCCTCTCACCCTGTGTCCTTTTCTTTGTCCTTAGCGCTCTCACATTTTTTTTCAATGTGCTTTTATTTTTCCCTTTTACCCTGGAGTGAAAATAAGTCATCATTTCCTTAATGCTTTCACAGTTTTAGTTAATTTCTTTTTTTTTTTTTTTTAGTTAATTTCTTATAACATGATTTGTGTATTTAATGAGTGACTTGGGGGGGAAAAGGTAAGATTTTCCTTTAAAAATCACTAGACTTTTTGGTTTTTTACTTCTAAAAAATGATTTTAATATCTTACTTTATAGAATAAGAGCAACTGAGAAATAAATACATCTTACTTTTCCCAAGAAAACATAATTGGTGTCATTCATTTCCCCATTTTTCACATAGGAAAATAGTTTACTTTATAATTGAAACAGTGTTATTTGTAATAGTAAGTCACTGAAAACAACACATCCATCCAGGAACACATGACTGGTTAAATATGTTAGAGTATATCCACATAATGGGATACTGAGCATTACATTGTGCAAGTATTCATTAACCTAAGAAAGTTTCTATCATCTGTTGTAAAATAAGCAAAAACAGGTAGCACAAAAGTTTTTCCAGAATGCTCAGTTCACAAGTAATTTTTCTGTTGGGTTTTCCAGTGTCCAGAGCACATCATTTTGTAAATTGAAAAATAAGTTATTAATAAAATGAACCAGAGCAGTTTGTTCAAAATCAGAGTGCAATGAGTAGGATAAAAAATTAAAAGTTGAGGCTGTGGTTCTGAATATTGAATAAGCTAAAAAAATTTATGAAATTTTTATTGGCGTTTGATCCATTTATATATTTGATGATACTCTTCTACTTCTTTTTGAAAAAATGATTTATTTTATCTTTGGCTGTGCTGGGACTTCATTGTTGCACAGATTTTCCTCCAGTTGCAGCGAGCAGGGCCTACTGTCTGGGTGTAGTGCTCGGGCTTCTCACTGCAGTGGCTTCTCTTGCTGTGGAGAGCGGGCTCTAGAGCATGCGGGCTCAGTCGTTGCTGCTCTCGGGCTCTAGAGCATGCGGGCTCAGTTGTTGCGGCTCTCGGGCTCTAGAGCATGCGGGCTCAGTCGTTGCGGCGCACCAGCTCAGTTGCTCCATGGCATGTAGGACTCTCCTGGACCAGAGATTGAACCCTTGTCTTCTGCATTGGCAGGCGGATTCTTTACCACTGAGCCACCAGGGAAATCCCTCTCTTCTACTTCTTAATTATTAAAATCACCTTTTCAAAGACTAATTTTTATGCCTATCTTACACCATCCAAAAGGCTGGAATTTGTTGGTTCCTCATCCAGTAAGTAGTTACACACCTTTCTTCAAATTAACTCTTGTTTATTTGGGTTTTTTTTAGAGCCAAATGGAGAAGTGTGTGTTTAATGAGCAAACCAGCCAAACTGACCAAATGGCAAATGGAAACAAAAGGAAGCTGAATTTTTCCAGATCTGACAGGAAAGAATTCCATTTCCCAGAATTGCCTTTCATAATACAATCAAAGGAGATGAAAGGAATGGAAGGTACACATTTGTCGCATAGTTTTACAAATCTCCAGATAGAATATTTTAAAAAACCTTTTTTGGTAATACAACTTACATTTATAATACGATTTAGGTAGAAAGAAGTATGTGTATGTGTGTGCGTGCATGATCAGTCCCTTCAGTCGTGTCCGAATCCGTGTGACGCTATGGACTGTAGCCCTCCAGGCTCCATGGGGTTCTCCAGGCAAGAATACTGGAGTGAGTTTCCATGCCCTCCTCCAGGGGATCTTCCTGATCCAGGGATCGAACCCACATCTCTTACATCTCCTGCACTGGCAGACAGGTTCTTTAACACTAGTGCCACCTGGGAAGCCCCAGAATGGAGTATATTGCTAGGCAAAATATTTTCAGCTGATGAAAAAAAATTTTTTCCATAGTCAAATAAAGGGTAAGACTTAAAGGAGATAATTTTAAAGAAGTGTTAAGAAAATTTTAAAAAGTAAAAATTTTATTAGCTCAATTTTGTTGAAATGTTAGAATAGTATTTGAGGAAGATGTTTTTGGTTTAGCATATGACCTAGGGTAATTGCAGTTTCCTTTGTTTTTCTGTGATAACTTGCCCATATAATAGCAGGAATGATGTATGTGTGCTTCATGCATTCAAGGACTTGGTCAATTAAAATTTTATAACATGTATTGAGCTCATAAAATGAAACTCATTTTTTTGCAATCATTTCTCTGAAGAACAGTGACACCTTGTGAAAAGAGAATATAATAGCAAGAAAATAGTACTTGCATAGCTCAAGAGGAATTATCTGATCCACTTAACAGTAATATTCAGAATTTTAAAAGTAAATGTCTTCCTAATTTAGAAGACAGACTGGTAGACTATTTGTAAAATTATATAACAAACCATCTGTGACTGATATTTTACACCATTACAGCTCATGATTTGTTTAGTTCCTTTATAATAAACTGAGAAACTGACTTTAGTGGATATCTGAATTTCCATTTGAAACTCTTGGAAAGTAAAATTTCAAGGTAAGAGTAACAAGTTCTCATATATATTTTTGCAAAAGTGAAACAGATAAAAGTGTTGAAGAGGGAATCAAAGAGAACAGATTCATCTAAAATACCAACTTTACTTAATGCAGATCAATATCAAGAAAAACAAGAGGTAAAACGTTTTACTGATAGCTTTTACTAAGTAATGATGTTTAGAATACTTGACTTAGTATATAATTTTAGTTATTACTGTTGGAAAGTTAGATAAAATTTCAAAATTCTCTAATCTTTGACCTCTAGAAACAGAACTATATTTTCCTAGAATAATCAATTATAAAGGTTTTTAAAAAGGTTTTATTTTTGAAGGTAGTAAATTTGAACCCTCATTTGAATGTTGAGTGATTGAATATATGCTACCCAGAGAAAATAGTATGTGTGTTATGTATACTACTTGGTGGTAGGTAAACCATGCCAGAGGAAAGGAATAGTGGTATAGACATACGATTATCCTGGCCACAAGAACATATATATTTTGTCTTTAGCCTTTTTCTTCCTATTTTTTCCTCCAATTTATTCCCCCATCTCTGCTTTCTAACTACTGTCCTATTTTCACAAAGATATGCTCTCAGCTAAGTATCAGATAATCTTGAATTTTATTTGGGGATCTTGAAGCCATCAGTATCTATTATAAATTAATACTCTTTAAAGGTATTCTTTTAAGGGAAAGGGATTGTGCTGAGCATTCACTGAATTAAATCATATTAACAGCCTTCTATCCTGTACACCTGTGAGGTCATCAACTTTGTTATCTAGGTTTCTTATTTTCTAAATAAAATTGACTACATTTTTATTTGTGATAAAATTAGCACATACTTATTAAGGAAATTTGAAGAACTTATAAGAATAGAAACCATCATCTGAAACTATGTAAGAAGGTATTTTTAACTAAGTCTATTAATTTCTGAAACATTCAGGTAAGAATTATCAGACACTGTTAGATATACTTTCACAGTGACATTTATGCCTTATTCCTGGCCTTGAACTTGTTGACAACTCCACAATCAGTTTTGCAGAGAAGAAATATTTTCTAGATAGAACAAGGAAGGCATTAATGGTCATCTTTTAGTTTGTTATAAAAAAGAATAAGATAACTTCAAACTTTTAAATCTGGGTGACTTACTGATGTCACAGAATGTTGAACAGCACACCATTTGCACATTTTTTGAATAATTGGATGAGTTAAGGGTCTTGAGTTTGGGCAGACTAGTAATGTGCTACATGTGTTTTGTCCTACTGTACTGTGAAAGCCCTCAGAACTGAAATTACATTTTAATTCAGGAAGAAAGGAACTCTTAAGACAGTTCTGACATTTTAAAAATACATAATAGGAAGGGAAAATCCCTTTTTGTGCATATGATGTAGAACTCCTGAAAAGATGATCTTTTTAAGAGTAACAGTGAAACAGTTGTAGTTATTAGAAATATCCAGAAGTCATCAATGATAATTGTAGTTTATATGTATCAGATTGGCCAAAAAGTTTGGGGTTTTCCATAAGATGGTAAGGAAAAACCCAACCCAACACTAATCATTCAAATGCAGTTCTGACAAGTGACAGAAATTACACATGAGGCTGGTTCAAATGCTTTTAGTAAATTAATGTTAGAATTAAGAAAATGTCCTAAATTTCAAGTTGATAGGTTGTTAATGTAGAGCATGAGAGAATATGATATGTGTTTAAAAACTTAAGACAGGGAATGGCAGCTTATTTGTTCTATTCACAGATTTGTTTCTGACTTACTAAATCACATCCAGGCACTTCCCAGTTAATAGTGTAGACATGTATTCAGCAGATTCTAGAGACCTAGAGAGAAATTCCAATTACTGCTGAGTGAGTTAGGCAAGAAACAAGAGTCCACAGAAAAGCCTCCTTCAGTTTTGTCTTACGATGATAATAAGGACTCCTTTGCTAAATAGTCTCCCTGTGCCTTATAAAATAGCCCCCAGGTGCAAAGTACAAGTACTTATCTGTGGCTGTATTTCCTTAGCCAAAGACTCACGGTTTCCTCAATTAAGGTCCTGTTTCTATTTACTTTTTAGAATACAGGAAATGCACAAACTGAAAGGAAGAAGAACCTGCCAGATGTAGAGTAGAAAATGCAGCAGCTGAAAATTCAGGGAACCCCAGAATCACACTGTATGGTTAAAAAAATCCTTTTTATTAATATTACATACACAAAAATGTTGACTAGAGAATTCTACAGATAGATCGTAAATCCTATGTAGTTATGTGTAAACTCATCTAAATTTGTTTTAATAAATTATAAATTTTTCAAGTTTTCTTAATTTGAACATTAATTTATAAAAACTGCCTGACTGGTACATCGTAATAAAACTACAGCTTACGTTTGGTCATATAATTTTATTTGATGACCTGTTATGTCAGTCATGTTTGATTACTGGTCATTCTTAGCTTTGGTTCAGAACTTTATAGATAGAAAGATTTCTAAATGTGTAGTAACGTGAGATTCCAATGTCTGGGAGCACCAGACATTTCTGAACAAGTAAGCATACTTGATAAGCATGAAACATGGTTTGGTTTTATACTGGACATTCTGGAGCAGTATTTAATTAAACATATCATGAAACATGTTTAAAACGATGGAAACTGAGCCAAGTATTGAAGGAAATCTTTTGGCTTGACCAGCATGTTTATCATTTAGTAGTTTATATAGAATATATTGGTATGTATAATTTAACATTAATATAGTCAAAGTTTTGGCAACATGTATTTATATTCTTATCCCTGGTTGTTGGCTTGGTTTCTGATTTTAGGATGGAGATGAACATTATAAGGGGAAGAATTTGAAGAGGAACAGACTTTTTTTCTGGTAGTGTCTTTTCTTTTAAATCTTAAAAAATACAAATTGGCAAGTCTTCCCTTTTAATTTTATATACAACAGAAACGTAACATGAGCTGTTACAACAGCAGTTAGTCCACAGTAGCATCATCCAACTTTGTTTTGTTAGCAAACCATTCCTAGTTTTCTTCTTCCTTTCTTCTAAAAATTCTGTTGATGTGATGTTTTGATTTGGGGTTATAAAGTCGTCTCCTCTCTGCGTGCTTTTTTACTTGCCATGATTACTGAGTAGCTAACACATCCTGTCATATGACTCATACTGTATTTCTACTGATCTCTGCCCTCTGCTAGTCATATAATCTAAGTGTCAGTTTTTTTCTAGAATGCTCTAGCTTCCTGAAGTGAGTTCTTAATGAAATGTCTGACATTTTAAAAAAAGTAGTCCATTACATGATTAAAAATATGTTCTGTTAGCTATAAAAACATTTATAATATTTATAAAGTATCAAAATTATATGGTATTAAATGTTAATTTTTTAAATTCCTTTAAACAACTGCCAGCACTCTTTCAGTTTCCTAGTTCAGTCTGATAGTGCCTTTTATGTAGTACAAACTTTTTCTATTTATGTATGACCCAGAAGAGAAACACTACCAAAATTCTTGGTCGTCATATTATTCAAAAAGCAAAATGAGATTGTTTGGTATTTTACCAAGACTCAGCCTGATTTTGTATTTACCAAATAGACTTGAAAAACAAATGAAAACATAATTTCTTTATTATGATATTGTGATCTCTTTTTGACTTATTAAACGGTTGATTAAAATTCGCAGTGAGTTCTCTGGTGGTCCAGTGGCTAAGACTCCATGCTCCCAATTCAGGGGGCCCGGATTTGATCCCTGTTTAAGGAACTAGATCCCAGTTCAGTTCAGTCGCTCAGTCATGTCCAACTCTTTGTGTGACCCCTTGGACTGCAGCATTCCAGACCTCCCTGTCCATCACCAACTCCCAGAGTTTACTCAAACTCATGTCCACTGAGTCAGTGATCCCATCCAACCATCTCATCCTCTGTTGTCCCCTTCTCCTCCCACCTTTAATCTTTCCCAGCATCAGGGTCTTTTCTAATGAGTCAGCCCTTTGCATCAGGAGGCCAAAGTATTAGAGTTTCAGCTTCAGCATCAGTCCTTCCAATGAACACCCAGGACTGATTTCCTTTAGGATGGACTGGTTGGATCTCCTTGCAGTCCAAGGGACTCTCAAGAGTCTTCTCCAACACCACAGTTCAAAAGCATCAATTCCTTGGCGTTCAACTTTCTTTATAGTCCAACTCTCACATCCATACATGACTACTGGAAAAACCATAGCTTTGACTAGATGGACCTTTGTTGGCAAAGTAATGTCTCTGCTTTTTAATATGCTGTCTAGGTTGGTCATAAGTTTTCTTCCAAGGAGCAAGTGTCTTTTAATTTCATGGCTGCAATCACCACCTGCAGTGATTTTGGAACCCCCCAAAATTAAGTCTGACACTGTTTCTACTGTTTCCCTATCTGTTTGCCATGCAGTGATGGGGCCAGATGCCATGATCTTAGTTTTCTGAATGTTGAGTTTCAAGCCAACTTTTCCACTCACCTGTTTCACTTTCATCAAGAGGCTCGTTAGTTCTTCGCTTTCTGCCATAAGTGTGGTGTCATCAGTGTTATTGATATTTCTCCTGGCAATCTTGATTCCAGCTTATGCTTCATCCAGTCCAGCATTTCTCAGGATGTACTCTGCATATAAGTTAAATAAGCAGTGTGATAGTGTACAGCCTTGACGTACTCCTTTCCCAATTTGGAACCATTCTGTTGTTCCATGTCCAGTTCTTTTTTTTTTTTTTCTTCCATGTCCAGTTCTAACTGTTGCTTCTTGACCTGAGTACAGATTTCTCAGGAGGCAGGTCAGGTGATCTGGTATTCCCATCTTTTTAAGAATTTTCCACAGTTTGTTGTGATTCACACAGTCAAATGCTTTGGCATAGTCAATAAAGTGGAAGTAGATGTTTTTCTGGAACTCTCTTGCTTTTTCAATGATCCAACGGATGTTGACAATTTGATCTCTGGTTCCTCTCCTTCTTCTAAATCCAGCTTGAACATCTGGAAGTTCTCTGTTCACAAACTGTTGAAGCCTCACTGGGAGAATTTTGAGCATCACTTTGCTAGTGTGTGAGATGAGAGCAATTGTTCAGTAGCATGAGCATTCTTTGGCATTGCCTTTCTTTGGGATTGGAATGAAAGCTGACCTTTTCCAGTCCTGTGGCCACTGCTGAGTTTTCTGAATTTGCTGGCATACTGAGTGCAACACTTTCACAGCATCATCTTTTAGGATTTGAAATAGCTCAACTGGAATTCCATCACCTCCACTAGCTTTGTTCATAGTGATGCTTCCTAAGGCCCAGTTGACTTCACATTCCAGGATGTCTGGCTCTAGATGAGTGATCACACTATCGTGGTTATCTGGGTCATGAAGATCTTTTTTGTATAGTTCTTCTGTGTATTCTTGCCACCTCTTCTTAATATCTTTTGCTTCTGTTAGGTCCATACCATTTCTGTCCTTTGTTGTACCCATCTTTGCATGTAATGTTCCCTTGGAATCTCTAATTTTCTTGACGAGATCTCTAGTCTTTCCCATTCTATTGTTTTCCTCTATTTCTTTGCATTGATCATGGAGGAAGACTTTCTTATCTCTCCTTCCTATTCTTTGGAACTCTGCATTCAAATGGGTATATCTTTCCTTTTCTCCTTTGCCTTTAGCTTCTCTTCTTTTCTCAGCTATTTGTAAGGCCTCCTCAGACAACCATTTTGCCTTTTTGCATTTCTTTTTCTTGGGGATGATCTTGATCACTGCCTCCTGTACAATGTCACAAACCTCCATCCATAGTTCTTCAGGCACTCTGTCTATCAGATCTAGTCCCTTGAATCTATTTGTCACTTCCACTGTATAATTGTAAGGGATTTGACTTAGGTCATACCTGAATGATCTAGTGGTTTTCCTTACTTTCCTCAATTTAAGTCTGAATTTGGCAATAAGGAGTTCATGATCTGACCACAGTCAGCTCCTGTTCTTGATTTTGCTGACTGTATAGAGCTTCTCTATCCTTGGCTGCAAAAAATATAATCAATCTGATTTCAGTATTGACCATCTGGTGATATCCATGTGTAGGGTCTTCTCTTGTATTGTTGGAGGAGAGTGTTTGCTATGACCAGTGCGTTTTCTTGGCAGAACTCTATTAGCCTTTGCCCTGCTTCATTCTGTACTCCAAGGCCAAATTTTCCTGTTACTCCAGGTATCTCTTGACTTCCTACTTTGCATTCCAGTCCCCTATAATGAAAAGGATATCTTTTTTGGGTGTTAGTTCTAAAAGGTCTTATAGGTCTTCATAAAACTGTTCAACTTCAACTTCTTCAGCATTACAGGTTGGGACATAGACTTGGATTACTGTGATATTGAATGGTTTGCCTTGGGAACAAACAGAGATCATTCTGTCTAGACCCCACATGTGGCAACTAAAAATTCTACATGTGCAATTAATGATCCCATGTGACACAACTAAGACCTGGCACAACCAAATAAATATCTTTTTAAAATGATTAAAAAAATTAACAGCTGAGATTAATATATGTGTGTGTGTGTGTGTGTGTGTGTGTGTGTATCTTTCTAACAGACTCCCTGTTAACTTTAGTAACTAATCTCCCCCAGAGAAATTAAGAATTATTCCTGTGGTAGATTCAATAAATATAAGTCTGGCCATTGCCTACTTGTTGTTCAGTCTCTAAGTCATGGCCAACTCTTGGCAACCTCATGGACAGTAGCATGCCAGGCTCCTCCATCCTCCACTATCTCCTGGAGTTTGCTCAGATTTATGTCCATTGAGTCATTGTCCCATTCTCTGCTTCCCCTTTCTTCTTTTGCCTTCAGTCTTTCCCAGCATCAGGGTCTTTTCCAATGAGTTGGCTCTGTGCATCAGGTGGCCAAATGTTGGAACTTCAGTTTCAGCAACAGACCTTCCAGTGAATATTCAGGGTTGATTCCATTACGATTAACTGGTTTGATCTCTTTGCAGTCCAGAGTTCTTTCAAGAGTCTTCTCCAGCACCACAATTCAAAAGCATCAATTCTTTGGCACCCAGCCTTCTTTATGATCCAACTTTAACATCCGTGCATGACTACTGGAAAAACCATAGCTTTGACTATACAGACTTTTGTCAGCAAAGTGATGTCTCTGTTTTTTAATACACTATCTAGGTTTGTCATGGGTTTCCTTCCAAGGAGAAAGCATCTTTTAATTCCCTGGCTGTAGTCACCATCCACAGTGATTTTGGAGTCCAGTCCAAAATCCAAATAAATAAAAGCTTCCAATCCAAAATAAAATCTGTCACTGCTTCCATTTTTCCCATCTATCTGCCATGAAGTGGGACCAGATACCATGATCTTAGTTTTTTGAATGTTGTTTCAAGCCAGATTTTTCACTCTCCCCTTTCACCTTCATCAAGAGGCTCTTTAGTTCCTCTTCACTTTCTACCATTAAGAGTGATATCATTTTCATGTCTGAGATTGTTGATATTTCTCCCGGCAATCCTGACTCCAGCTTGTGATTCATCCAACCCAGCATTTTGCATGATGTACTCTGCATATGAATTAAATAAGCAGGGTGACAATATACAGCCTGTCGTACTCCTTTCCCAATTTTGAACCAGTCAGTTGTTCCATGTCTAGTTCTGACTATTGCTTCTTGTCCCACATACAAGTTTCTCAGGAGACAGGTAAGGTGGTCTGGTACTTTCATCTCTTTTAAGAATTACCCATAATTTGTTGTGATCTAAACAAAGGCTTTAGCATAGTCAATGAAGCAGAAGTAGATGTTTGATCCTTAAAGGGCTGTCTTTTTTTTTCTTCAATTTCTACAAAAATGCCTGCTGGGATTTTGACTGGGATTGTATTAAAGTTAGTAGCAGCAGCAGCAGCAGTGTTAAAATCTATACATCAATTTGAGGAGAATAG